ATTGAAGGCAAAGAGGGAATATTTCATGAAAATCTGCTTGAGTAATAGAATGATCTTAATATTGGGGCAAACTTCATCTTATATCATATGTACGTATATTCATTACACCTTAAGTTGAGAAGATCTAGGCAAGAATGAAAATTCATAACAGGTAGGCTTGTTAAATAAGATTCGATCATTTACTATATTTATCCTAGACTAAGCATAGAATCTGACCTTTGTTCTGAGGATCATGCAAGTAATTTTTAAGTGAACCCTTTTGAGCATACTCATAAATGAGATAAAGTTCTGCATCACTGGCTGCATAACCAATCAATTCTACCTTGACAAAATTAAATCATGACTATAGTCAAATTTCTAATTTTTAATACATCAAAATTAATCTTTGAGAGAAAAAGGGAAAGTAAACCAAAGATACTTTAAACAGCCTTTACCAAGTTTGTGTGATGAACTTTGCACAGAACTTTCATCTCTGCCAAAAATTCTTTAGTTTTCGTAGCAGTCATTCTTTTGATTGCAACTTCCTGAATATGCATACAGGACTTGGTGTGATAAGAAGAACTTAGTTTATCTATACATGTGAAATAGAAAAGCAATAGACTAAAAGCTGTAAACCTGGTCACGAAGGAGGCCATAGTACATGGAACCATATGCTCCATGGCCCAGAAGATTGGAATCGGAAAAACCGTCAGTAGAAGACAGAATTTCCTCATGAGTGAAAACCACAGGTTTCTCCATGTCAAAGAATTCGGTTCCTACAACTATCAGAGACAAGATGCATACACAAAAAAATATAATTTTTCAATGAGAATTTGGAGAAATCGTTACAACTCTTGGAATACAAGCAACATGAATATTTCTTCTTTACTTCCATACAAGTCAGTCGTCAATTTGAAAACGCATAGCAAAACAATCCACATATAGAGAAGCTACATGTTTGCAGAAGTAGTTAACACATATCGTGGTTCAAGCTTAATGGAGGAGGTAAAAGAAGCTTTCGGTGAAAATTTCAGGAACAATCAGTCAGGCGTATTGCTTCACGCTATAAACATTTTTGTTCCTCTATGTTGAATAGAGTTTCATTGAAACTTGAATTATATAACTAATCTGTCATCGTTATATCTTCTATAAAAAACTGACCTGCAATCTACTAAAATTTTGTAGACTCTATTAAAGACAACCATGACATAAAGGAACAACTGGTACAGGTCCTTCCCACAAAACTTGATCCCAAATTCTGAAGAGACTCTAACTGTCATCTTCTATTCGAAACTTCTTAAGATTTTTCTTTACATGTATGTGTAACCAAAAGTAAGTATAATATAAAGCTTACACCTGCGGGAATGTTCATCTGGCGGTTGCTAGGTTCTCCGGTGGGCTGCTTCCAGTCCCCAGATCTGCAACAAATATACCTCCCTGATGCACAGCAAAAACTTGTCTTTCGAAGAATCTGAACTTCATGAGATGTTTTCTCCGCAGAATCTTTGGCTAGACTACCTCGGGCCCCAGGAAAACAGCTGGATGATTTCAAGGAAACAAAAATTACTATCACTATGAGAATCAGAGCTAGGCCCACAGTCAAACTTCCAATGATCCACCAATAAGGAACATTGACCTTATGATTCACCGGATCTACTGAAATAAGATGAAACATATATCAGTAAAAGTATTTCTAAGCATGAGAGATAGTACAGGTTTCTTAATCTACAGATAGAGAAATATTTCCTTTTCTATATGTATATTCATCGCAAGTTTCCAATCCATTATGATTGAAATATTCCACTTAATGGGAAAACTAAAGGAATATTGGAGGAAGCAAATACGATATGTTAAAAGATGATATAACTTAATAAAATAACTTCCAGAAGAAGAAAAAGGCATAAGCTGACTGATGTACTCTATCAAGGAAAAAGTGAACAGATAAACACTGCTTACAAACTTGCGATACCTTTGAAGTTATCAGCAGATGGAGCAGGAACAGGAGCTGGAGTGGAATCATTCTTTAAGGGGTAAGGCTCTCCGGGAACTGAAACATACATAAAATCAAAGAAAAGAAATAGTGAGAATTGAGGACCAACCAGAGTTACTATACCAAAATTTTTGTAAGATTTAATAACAGAATCTGAAAGTACTATTTACCAAGAATGACAATTTGAAAAGGAGAGTTAATATTAATTTTTAGACCAATGTCTTGACCAAACTTGACTTCTATCTCATAGTCAAATTGCAAACACATATACTGTCTAGATACTACCTATCTTATGCAAGTCCTCTTTATTCATTTTTTTCTGTTTATTGAGCGAGTATTGAAGCTTTTCCAATTTTCTTCAAAAGGTTCCCATGGGACTAAACAAAGATTCTCAGCTTAGCAATGCGACTTCATGTCATTCATATTCAATAGATATTTTGCAACTCATATACTCGATCAATTATGTGCTTGTCATTATCCCAAGGCACGTAGATGCACGATATAATTTGTAGAAAGATCCCAACATCATATTTGACCAGCGTGCATTGTTAATCAGTCATCAACATCTTTCCCAACAAACGAACAACACTAGAAAGTCCCACCTTCACTTATCAGTAAACAGAAAATCAATTATCCAACAGAAAAAGACCAATTTATGCTAAAGTTTACAGGGGGGAAAAAAAACCTATCTGAACAATCAATCCCATAAATCCAACTTAGAACCAAATATCGTCAGGAAATCTGAAAGAAGGGAAGCATGAAATGGTATGTCTTAAAAGATTAACAGAAATTACCTGAATTTAGTGGTATGTAGTATAGTGCCCCAACAGTTACATTGTCTGGATTAGAGATTCCATTGACAGTCTCAATACTATCCATACTAACCCCAAACCTACTAGCCAAAGATGCTACGCTATCCTCATCTCTCATAACATAACTCATCAAGTAATTCCACAGCCCACTCGAACACCCACACATGATCCTCAATGACACCACAGCACCTTTCCTTGCCTTTCTGGTAAAATTTGTAGAAAAATAAGCCAACCCATCATAGGCCTCCATCACCAAATCATACACAGACCCATTATTCTCCATCACAGTAAAAGTAGTATTGCTCAAGTATTTGTGTAAACGTGAAGCACAAGAACAGTTCTTTTTTATGAAAATGTAGTCTCTGCCATTTCCCTCGATGGTTATGTCTTGTGGCAATACATCAAACATGCTTTGGATCACTGGTAGAGTCCGTTTTGAGGTGGGCTTGAAGGCTAAGAAAGATGTGCATAGGCGTGTGGTGTCTGTACAGTTAAGTGGAGTTGGATATTCTTCGGATAAGCAGAAAATAAGTACTTGGAGTGTAAGTAGCAGTGGCAAAATGATCAAGATTGGTGTTCCTCTTCTATGAACCATTTTAACAAAAACCTTTGATGCATCCACTGGAAGGCTTCAATCTCTAATGAAAACTAGTCAGAAAAATTGAGTCTTTGATAGATTATACTGTCAAAAACGGAATGTTGGAGTGAAATTTGTTGGGAAGGACTGAAACAGGTCATTTTTTGCTTAAAATCTGGAAGAGTGATTACCGACTGACAACTACTATGCCAGTAAAAAAGGAGAGAAAGTGACAGCCATAGAGGCATTTGATGGAGAAAAGGCCACAGGCCACCTTGGGAATTGTTAAACAACCTAGTTCATTTACTACAAAACAAGATTATGTCATATCAAAAAAAAAAAAAAAAAAAAAAAAAAAAAAGATTATGGTAGTAATAAAATTATAATTTGACTTAATACATCAAGATTTCGCAGTGCATTTTACAACATGATGGAAGTTGTAAAGTTCTATTGAAAATAAAGAGTATATAATTCACTAAACAGTAAAATAAAGCACAAATTCATATTTAAATAGATAAATATTTTACATTATTAAATTAAATAAAGTAAGCACCATTATTTTCCAAGTTGTTCATGGAGTATTGGTATTTGTGAAAAGGACAATTCGATAGTAGGGAATAAATGGTATGCATGAGGACTGGCTTTGTTTTGGGGACAACGAAAGCACAATGTGCCAAGAAAATGTAAGATGAGGACACCTGAGTATAGGTCCCACACTTTTCACCCTCAAAAAATCACCAATAATTTTCGACTAGTGTCTAAAGAAAGATAGTTAAGTACGTATATAAACATACAACTCGAGGAGGTCGGGAGATAGTACATAGTTTGATGGGTCGAAAACTCAAGTACTGCTTGCTACATTTCGAATGACCTTGAATTGTGTTGAATTTAATTTTTTTTAATTTTTTTACAGAAAATTGAGTTTGGACAACTTAGGAAATGTATATACGCGACAAAGATTGTGTGGTCAGATGTCCAAGTCATGTTCATCGGTTATTGGATTCTGCTAGGGTCTGTTTGGTAATGGGCATAAGATTATGTTCCGCCAACAAATAATTACAAAGACGTCACAAACACTACTTATCATCCAAACAAATCACTTTCAAGTGGACTTTCATCATAATGTGACCAAAATAATAAAGAAATAATCCTTTCTCAGTTAATAAAAAAAAAATTCCAAAGGGGGTCCTTATCTTATTTATATCCTTGTCCATAGTCCCTACCATTTGCCAAAATCTGCAAATACATCCATTTCTTTTCGTATTCTCTTTTTCCATTTTTGCTTAATTAATAAGCTACTTAATGAGCTGATTCTATCTGATTTAAGAAAAATTAAAGTTGAAATTAGTTTATTTAAATATTGAACATATCAATTTAATATGATTATTGATTCTAATAGTGAAACTAAGAATCGTATCTATTTTTTTTTCTTTTTAATTAATTATAAAATATTATTGATATATAATCTACTAATAGTGTGCGCTCACGTACCAATTTTGAATGGGCCTTTAAGTTTTGAAAATAACGAAATTGGACCGAGTTGGTTCGAGTCCTAAAAAACTTGATATCGGATTGAATCCAAGTATAGTAACGAATGATTGTGAACGAGTACCATAAAATTGATTGGCAACAGATATTTAAATGATAGTTTAATTTATTTTTTTGTCATTATCAATCGTAAACTTTATCGAGCAAGAGCAAGATGAAGGACACAGCGAATTAGTACTTGCTGGGCTTCGAAATGTAGAATTGGGCCAAGAGAACTTACTGGGCTTCTAAAGTAGGAATTGGGCCAATTGGAATTGGGCGCTTCTAAAGTAGAAATAACTTGCTTGGCTTCTAAAGTAGAAATTAGGCCTATAGAGATATATGCTTGAAGTTCCGACCTAGTTTCACTCACTATAATCTATATGAAGCCAGTGAATTTACATGCTTGGAGGTGATATAGGTGTTTAGAGAGTGCCGCGTGCTCGTGCTCTTACATTCGCTCGTACCAACGTATTTTTTTGCTATGAATTTACCAGAGTAATCATTTTTCTGTCACGCCATATGAAAATTTAGATGATCCTAGACGATGCATCTACCTAGGCCATAGCCCATGCTAGATCGTGTGAGGTCAGTCCACATAGGTTAAAAATTTTTATAATGAATTTCAAAGAAAAAGAAACTCTAATCTCCTACTTTAGTTGGGATTCATATCGCTTTTTAGTTGTTAATGATTAGGTCCAAATCACACCTTTGCATGACGGCATTGGTCGTTCTTGAAATCTAGCAAATTACATAGTACAAGCACATACAACTTACCCTTTTGTATTGGTTGCAAATTTTAGTTCGAAAATTATCCTTATTTGCCAAAGTGATCGACTACTGATTAACATGCACAAAGTATTGTAACGTGAAACTGTGAGGGTGGTCAAGTAGTCAACAAAAAGCGGTTACTTACTAGTGACACCGCCATCTCGGCGGAGGTTTAACAAGTTGGTATAGCCCGGTTCAAACATCATGGTTGCATGTTTTGAATTGGAACAAATGCTGAAAATAAGAGTTGATGTCGAAGCTTTACCACTCAAGTGCAATTTGCAACATATCTTTCAAGGTTTCATCATGGTCATTGCATCACTGCACCCATGTCTCCAATTGTAAAATGTTTTTGATGTATTAATCGTCAAAAGAGTTTTCTCTTATCTGAATATGCGTGCAAATTGCCTCGATCGAGGAATGACTACATATAAACCAGAATAACATTTTATATAATTTTTAAATTTAGTAAAAAATGACTGTGATAGTCTGATGTCTAGAGTCGAATCATACATTTCTAACTCATTTTCAATTATACATTTTATGGGATTTACAATTTTGAATTATTCTTGTTGTACATAATTTTTTACCTAATTGGTTACCTAATTGACAAGTGGCGGCCCTAAATTGGGGGCACCTGGGCCCACAGGCACCCCCCAAATAGAGAGTCCGACACTTTTCAATTCGGTAACACATTATGTACTTGTAGCATGGTTGTACAATTTTTATCAACTTCTTAACCACACATTTCGTATATTTTTATAAAAAATCTACTAAAAATATTATTATTATTATCTTATCAAAACCGAGTAGAGGCTAAGTGAAATGTGTAACGTGATATCAAAGTTGGACAAATGCTCAAGTAAAGTCTCCATGGCCTTCACTTATGAAAATAATATACACGTAACCGACTTTTAATAAAAATAAGCAATCCGACATGCATCCGAATAGGCGATTAACTTTTAAAAAGAGAAGAGGGCGATAAGAAGAATTTTCCTTTTGGGTGGTGGGGTAGGAAAGCAATAATTTAAACCCCAATCGAACTTTCATAGTCTTTTTCTCACATCATTACGCGGAATACATGTTTTCTCGCATAAATGATACGTTGGAAGAATTCGTAGTCTTCCACTATCAATATAGGCAAAGAATTTGAGTATTGGAGTCACAAGAGCAGAAAGAGTAGAATTTATTATTTCGTACATTCTTGAAAATCTTGAAAGTGAATCAAGAAAGGAAGTCTATTTGTGAACCTTAATCAAATAGAATACTATGACATGAAGTATTCTAACAAGCAATAAGTGAAAAAAGGGAAAATAATTGAAAGGCAAAAGCAAGAGATTTTGGATGAGAAAAGGTGAACTTTGAGCATTTAATTTGAAAATAGATAGTGAGAGGACCAATGTTTTAATAATTGGGATAATGATTTTGAAAACGTGGAAAAATTGCATTCTAGAAAAAGGTGAGGCAGCCTCTTATCTATAAGCACGCAATCTTCTGTTCCAATCCTCGTGCCCTGCCAACTTGTAAAAATGGCCAAGGAGGAACCGGAATTTCTATAGCATGATTATTTGCATACGGCCAATCCACCCACCAATATGTTCTTTCACGAAATAGACGTGCAATATATTTGTGTTCCGACTGTCATTTACTCAGTCTTGTTTCACTTATTTCACACTGATGTCTTTACTTTGCTCTCCTAATGATATTTATCGTTAATATCCGTAGTTGACTAAGACAGTTTAAGAATCTGTTTAGAACAACTTCTGCTTTTGATTCTTTTTTTTCTTTTTTTTTTGTAGAAGAACTTTCTAAAAAAATCACATCGGGTTGACTTATTATAGAAGTTAATAGCTCTTCTAATCAGATAAAATACTTTCAATTTTTATCTAAAATATTCAAAAATAACTTCTTAATCTCAAAAGTCATTTTTTACTTTTAAAAAAGTCGCGTCAAACAAAAAATTTCAAGAAAACGTTAGACGTGTAACCTAGATTAGCATCCTTCATTGCACACCATCTAAATTTCTAAAGTTTGTTTACGCGGTAGAACTTATTCACAAAAAGATTGAGGATCGAATATGTAGTGTATGTTTGATAAAGTTTATAATCACTTATAAATTGAATGAACTATAATGAAATTTACAAATTTTTATATATTTTCCATCTACGTGGTTCGTATAAATCGTAATTTATAACCGAATAAAATCTTTACCAAACATGTTCATAAATTCGATTCAAATCTTATAACACGGGATATACCGGATAAGCATTTTTTATTTTTTATTTTATTTTTTTGGGTGTGGTGCGCTTTGTCTAACTTGCCATAAAAACATGAAATGTTAAGACGAAGAATCATTGTATGTACGACTCTTGCAATCCTCCCAAAATGCTCTTTTGATTTGACCTTAAGATCACGAGTTGCCCCCCAACATCCCCATCTTCTTAAAATAAAAAAGAAAAAGAATTAAACACGTTAATTGATTTACCACCGTACGATTTGTCCCGTTTCCATTTGCATCATCTCTTGTTATATGTACGACGTGGATCACTTTAGATATTGAAGTATCGGATTCAACGCTAAAATAAATCTAAGATTCTGCCTCGACGTGAACAAGTGAGCGCGTGAAAATACGTTCGAACTTCCTCATCCTTGCAAAATATAGTTATTTACATGTCAGTAACATTTTTTGATTTGGGTGTTTAGAGTTTCGACCTTTTCGAAATTAGATCCATGAGTCTATGTGTTATGGAAACAAATTTCGTTTGTGGCAATTAAATTTTTATTTAATATCAATTAACGGAATGTACTTCAATTTTATTCAATTTGGTGACTACATTTTAATTTGATTTCAATCAAATAACTCTGTTCAGCGAAATTGGGTTGGCAAAGATCAATGGCAAGAATTGATGATATGATGGTTGATATTTATTGATTGCCGATCATCAATTTTCGTCATGAGATTGAATAAATTTACCTTAATTGAAAAATTAAATTGTAGTTACCTGATTAAAATCAAATTAAATATAGTTAATTTTACTCTTTAGAATGGCAAATGCTTTGGCCATTCAATGATCTTCAACGGAATTTGAGAGGAAGTTAACTATGTAAGTTCCATCAATTTGAGAGACCGTGCAACAAAATTGTGAAATTAATTATTGTCACAAAGCTAAAATATAATGATCAATTGAGATTTTGATGGAACTTGAGTGACCACTGATGAAATTTACCAGAATGAGGAAAAGAAAAGCCCAAAGACTTCAACTACACTCGCTTCACGCGTCACTATCGCCGGTGGGTGTTGCAAAAAATAACACAACGCATATTAATCCGCCGACTTCATAATCGAGTGTTGGGTGGTCGGAAGCCAAAAAGCACAAAAAAGAATCACAGACCTCCCACGCGCCGCCACAAGCTAAAAGGGCCCACTCAAAAGCACCCACTTATGATACTAACACGTTTCACAAACTAGGGGTCAGCTTGTGAGGGGTGGCGTCTCCCATTAAATTAAGCTCCCGTTCAATATCCATTATTGGTGATTATAATTTTCGAAGCAATGTTTTTTTTTAAAGAACGTGTAGTTAGAAATGAAGATTTTTCTTTTAATTTACGTGTAATATTATTTTATTGGAGAATATATGATAGATAAAAAGTTAAAAAAATGAATTATAATTCTAAGAACTATGCTACTTGTACATAATATCGTGTCCATAATTGTGTTCACCCCCTCACATGGAGGGGGACCACTTTGGATATATTATATTTTATTCAAAGTGAGCCCCCTTCCATGTAAGGGGGTGAATACCCCATTATGTACGTGTAGCATCATTCATATTTTATTTTATAAAATTCACACCTATTACGATATTCATTACTCAAATTTTATATTGAAGACGGGCACAATATCTACTTATCGTTGATTCAAGAATCGAGATTTTTTTATTTAATGAAGCTACAAACTATGGGCATCTAACAAAAACTATAGAAAATTAACAATAAAAAAATTGTAAACTTGATTGACAAGACACAAACCAACCTTATTGACATAGCCTAGCTACGAACTACAATCGTTGTCAATATTTATGACATAGAACAACATCCGCACGTGTGAAAAATTTAATTTATTTTGACTTTCAGCAGAGATTATGTAGTGTGACGATCAATTAGGTGAAACAAATTAGGTTTATTAATCTGGTTTTTGGCACATTTTAGGGTGCTACCGTTGATTTGTTTGACATTTAAGGAAACAACAAAACCTACCAATTGGACTAAAATAGTTTTTGCTAGGCTGCCCCTGTGCATTACATAACTTCTAGATTCAACCAAGGGCATTATAGTCATGTTGCAATGTTCAATCATCAATGTCTTGAATCTTGATTATTCCGACATTCAGATCTCACGATTTATTTCCTTTTTCTTAAAAACAAAAATATGTTGTATCTATCTCAATTGTCGATTGGTAGGACATTGTTGCCCCTTTAATTTAATCCATGTGCGCGGCACGTGCAAAACTGATGGCCATATTGGATAGATTTCTTGAAAATGGACCATATGTACACAACCTATAGGTTGAGGTTGTTGGTGTCAAGAAAAAAGGAGGGACCAAAATCACACATACACCATAGATCAGTGACCAATTGAGCAAACTTCCCTTTGGCATAAAGATCCTTTAATTGTGGCATATTCTGTTTTGGGCGTTACCAAGGAAGCGTCCATTTCATATCTCCGCTCAAACCCCATTAGTGAGAGACGCATGGATTGTGGACGGCAAGCCAAAGTGAAAGTGCATGAATACCTGAAATAGTTCGACGTATCTTCTTAAACTTTTGACTATCAATTTAAAGTATCTGTTTATTAAAGATATAACCATACGGGTTAAGAGTTAAATTTCATTAATGGTCACTGGAGTTCAAGCAAAATTGCAAATCGATCATTAAAGTATAATTACAACCATTCGGCCCTTGAAGCTAAATAACACAACATAATTTGCCACATTATTAACTTGATTAAAACTTAATCGAGTTTAGTTATGGCCCATAAGGGCCTGCTTGGGAGTTTTGGAGTAATGACAATGTGCATTTTTTTAAGTATCGATTTTAAGTGTTTATGAGCGAATCGATTTTGAGTGATCTTTAGTAGCAATTTTTTAAGCAGTTCAAACTCATTTACTATTCACCGGTTCTAAAAGTTTTTCGAACGATTAAAATTACATATATCAATAGTAAGATTTTCATTTTATAATTTTCTCGTATGAAATTTTATTAATCATAAGTGATATTTTACTTATAAGTAATTTTCTTTACATAGAAGTTGAAACTTTATGTCTTTATAATAGTATTTTTGCTTAATAAGCAATTTTTTGCACAAAAGTGAACAATATCTCATAAATAATTTTTCACTTATAAATAATCTTTTTAACTATAAATTATTTTTTGTTAATGCATTTTTATTTATGAGTTAGTTTAGAGCAAAATATGTCGGTTGAAAAAAATATTTTATAAAAGGTCAAATTAAAAGAGAATATATGAAACGGCCAAAACCCACCAATTTGGTGAGTTGAGAGAAATAGCAAAAAATTATACTACACCGCTTTTGGGTGATTTTTAAACCTCTCAAAATTAATGTCCAAAAATACTAGCAAATATCGATTTTTTCAACATTTCATAAACGATGTCCACCAAAACTGATCAAAATCAATGAAAAAGAAAACTCCCAAATAGGTAAGTCCACATTCCACCTTTGACTGCGTTTGTTTTAAAACTCATTTTTAATCATACATTTTTTTAATAAAATAATATTAAATGTAAATTCATAATAGCTGCACATTTCTCAAAAAGATTATTTTTTGCCCCAAATAACGTCTTCCAACTCTAAATCTTGATTAACTAAATTTAATTTAAGGAATTTCATTGGTACAAGCAACTCATTGAATCATTCTTTTATAATCTTAGCTTCACTTTATGTCTCTTTAGCATAGACGCAATTTGAGCGAAGGGGGATGTTTTTAGGGGAGTGTGTTGCTAATTATGGCCATAGATATATGGAAATATACGTGTAATAGACACACACACTCTCTCTCTCACTACATGTGTATCTGTATTTTCTAGAGAGAGAGTGGTCAGCATGCTTTTACTTCTTGTGCTGAACAACAGTGTCACTTTGGGGGGCGTGTGGTTGCGTGCATTGCTCTCTAATTGCGTTTCCTGTTTTGAGGGTCCTTTGAGTGAAAATTACCTCTCTGGTTCCACACCTGTGTTTGTTTATATATTTGTTAGAGAGAGAGTATTCTCGTTCTAAGCGTGCTAAAAGAATAATTCATAAAAGAAAGACATAATAGCTTATAAGTTCTTATATCTCTGCTTTCTTCTTTGAGATTTTCTTTGTTTTAGTGGGGTTCCTGTCTGGGGTTTTTATATTTCTGTTTTCTGTTTTCTCTCTGGTGGTTTTTCAAGATTTTCTTGAGTTTTCAGTGGTTGAGTTACCTTGGATTTGATGATTTGAGTATGTGGGCAGTTCTTGATTCTCTTATATGATAAGTCCTTTCATTATCTTTACACTTCCCTTTGTGTTCCGCCTCTTCCATCACCTGGTCTAAAAGTTGAAGCTGTGTAATCTCAGATTGAACAAAGGCCTAATACGTGTATACAATTTTTTCCTCTTTTGCAGCAAGAACTCTGTGCTACATATCACTGAGCTGAAATTCTTGAAAAATAGTTCCTTTTAGTTTAATTTTATCGTAAAAAAAAAATGGCTTATTCAAGAAAAGATGAAGGGTGTCCTCAGTTACTAGATTTGATTCCAAAAAAGAAAGAATGGCCTACAAAGAGTGGAGAAATTAAACAAACAGGCCATGGATCTTCAGAGGAAAACCAGCTTGAGTTGAGGCTTGGTCCACCAAATGGAGACTGGACCATAAAAAATAACAACACTGTTAGCTATTTCTCTCCATGGTCGTCTTCTTCAGGCTACCAAGTGAAATCTCAGCAGCAAACGACGCCGTTTCTTCAAGCACATGGCCAACTGAAGGAATCCTCGCAGCCCAATTGTACTATAGCAGAAAAGAAGACATTTTCAGCAGCTAATACAGCTGTGCCTAGCAGCAGCAGTGCTCAGAAAAGGTGCCTCAGCTTTTCTTTAGCTTCTTTTGATTGTTTTTTTCTTGTAAACAGAGTTATATTCACTGTTATTTTACTCATATGTTGTGGTCCATGCTTTCATTTTCTTTAATGTCTATCTCGATCTATTTACTACTAAAGTACCAAAATTTTAACTTCTTTTCTATTTTACATTCATGCTACTCTGTTTCTTGATATTAGAGGTGCCTTTTATATGTTCTTATTATAGTCTATATTCATCAGCATAATATTTATAGAAGTTCTTAGCTGCTTCTGATAATTTGTCCTCGATCCTTATAATCTTCTTTTTCCTGTATTAACCTGTTACGTGTTTTATCTGAGCTGTGTTTTTGTGTGTAAAGTTGTATAAACATTCCATCATGTATTGTATATAGGTCAAGTCACCCTCTGTTTTCTGTAAATTGGTTTTTATCAATGAGCGAGCAGAGGATTCATGTAGTGGACTCTAAATATATTAGGAACAAAGCTAGTTTGTTTATGACGTTGATGAAGCTATATGCGTTTAGTTTCTCTAAACTAACTGAGTTATTTCTGTCGGCGAACAATAGAACTGCTCCTACACCAGTAGTGGGATGGCCTCCTATTCGTTCGTTTAGAAAGAATTTAGCAAGCGGCAATTCTTCTAAACCTGTCTCCGAGTCGCAGAATGTGGTTGGTAGCAAAATTTCAAGTGAAAAAGCTATCGAAAATCCCACTAAAAGTTTGCTTGTGAAGATCAACATGGATGGAGTTCCCATCGGAAGAAAAGTTGATCTTAAAGAACATGACAGTTATGAAAAGCTCTCCTCTGCTGTTGATGAACTCTTTAGAGGCCTTCTTGCAGGTTATCCATGCATAATTTATAATTTTTTCCCTATGATTCTATCATAATATAGTTAATTGAGGCTGGCAGATTTCTAATTTGTCTATAGACTGCTTATAACCATTTCACTTCTATATGTAATGGCCAAAAGATTGGGGACAAAAGATTTGATGTAATCTAGTTTGAAAGATATTTGATTGCTCGACTTTGTTTTGCGTTTGTGTGTAGCTCAAAGCAATTTTTCGACTGGTGGAATCAAGAAAAAGGAAGACGGGGGGAAAGCGATTACGGGTTTATTGGATGGAAGCGGAGAATATACCTTAGTGTATGAAGATAATGAAGGGGACAGGCTGCTTATTGGGGATGTTCCTTGGCAGTAAGCATCTTATCTCTCTGGATCTGACCCTATTATTATTCTTCCCCTTGGCTTAGGCTGTTTTGGAACCTAAGTTCCTAAATCTAAGTGTCTTGTTCTATGCATTTATCCTGCAATAATATTATCCAGCGGTAGCTTCACTCATATTTCTAGTTCGTATTGGTCGAGTTCTCAGAACTTTATTGTACATTTCTAACTTGTAATCTGTTTTCTTAATGGGTTTGGCAGCATGTTCGTATCAAGTGTGAAGAGATTGCGAGTACTGAAAAGCTCTGAACTCCCTACACTCTACCGTGAGTTTATAATCAATTTTGTTAGGCAAAATATGTGATATGCCGTACTTGACAATACTAGACTACACAATAGACAAGATATTAGCTTTCTTCCCCTTGATCCAATTATGTTCTTACCAAACATGCCACCATATATAGTTCTAATCCAAGTAAGATCATCGTTCTTTGCAGGTGGGAGGAAACACGAAAAGCTCTCTTAATACTTCAAGAAAGGATACAGAATGACGGATGCGATGAGCCCGATATAATGATTTTAGGGAAGACTGTTTTGTGTTTATTCTTGACTTCTAGAAACAATTTCTATGTTAAACCAAGAAAATTGGTTATCTGTAGTAATATTTGAACTAAATTGTAATTGCATTTCTGAGAATGCACGACTTTTTCACCCCCTAAAATTTTCGACCTTTTCTTCGTGTGGAGAGGAAGAGGTTGCATATATGGTTGCACAAGTTTTCTTCGTGTAGTATATTTTAAGGTGTTTATTGATGTTTTCTTATATTCGAAATTTCTTGAATCTTGGTCTAGAGGTATGCGGATTGGATATGATAATTGACAAATTAAGAAACGTAGTCTTATCTAGTTCAATACATTCGACTATCTTAAAAGAGGCGGCGGCAAACCCAAGACAAGCACAATTAGAAACAATGTAAGATTCACTCAATTATCAAATTTATTGTCACTGACTTGATTCTAGGAATAAAATTTTACGAGGCAAAATTGGCAGAGAAATGCTATTCATCCCCACTGGGGAGCATTAAATGATAGGTGAAATTAAATAAGTCATTTAATTTCATCTATCATTTAATCAATCATTTACATCCACATAGACTAGGGATACATCCCCAATATTTTTCAAATTGGCATCCAACCAGAGCTAGAGGCAGCTCCTAGGTTGTCACATTTACATTTAATGTTGTATCAATCCTAAACTATGAAATGTGGGCACACCATAATGACTCGAAAAATCTAAAAGAAAATATTTGGAGGGCGAATAGAAACATAGTTGAAACTACTGTTGACAAAAAGAATAGCATTGAATAGCAGGTAAATTCAAGATAAGTTACTTTTTTTCTTACTTCCAAAACTCGTCTTCGAGGTAAAGGGAGTGAGAGGCTGCAAGGAAAGCAGCACCAATGCCCGAACCATCACTGGAGTGCTACAATGCTTGATGCAGTCTCTTCTCCTACTAGCTCACACAATGTCTCCTCCAAGCACTTTCTATACTACAAGCAGTGTTCGTAAAATTCACCATCCATGGCTATGACCGTTTTATCTGGCAACAATATTGCAGAGCTTGACTACGGTTTTCCTCTTTTTGAGGGAGGTATTAGATATATCTGGAAGTGAATCAGCTCAGAATTTAACTTCTATTCCAGTATCGACTCCATATGTATTATGTAACATCAAAGTGTAGAAAATAAGAGAGGCAATTAGCTTAATAAATCGTAAGAGTATCAACCATCTTCAGGGAATACCTCAATACTAATGAAATTTTAAGTTTTGCAGGAACTTCATCCCCAAAAATGCAGCTTCTTCAGCCATCTTGAGTTGAACTCAGCGCAGAATTTCTCCCAAGTACATGCCAGAAGTTATCTTCTCAAATATCTGTAACAATAATTAATGATATTGATCAGACGGAGCACACCTTTTTCTGTTCCAGGAAAACGATATCATTAATTTTATAAGGTCGCAAGGCAGTTTTAAGGGCGTTCACAATATTACGTAAGAAACAAAAAAATAACATTCATCGTTATAGTGTCGAGTCCTGTTTAATATTGTACAACAAACACGAATCATGTTTAAACTTTCGACATCCATTGAATGGTCATACTCTGTCAATGGAAGATTCAATGACCTAAAGTTACCCCATTCCATATCGATAACCTGCATTATGAAATATTTACTACACTATTGACACATTGATATTGTCCTGACTTCTTCTTTAAAGAAAAAATAGTTATTTTATCTACCTCCAGCTAATGTTCCAATTGTATCATTCACCCCGGGCCTGATCTTTTGCCCCCAGTGGGCAAGAAAAAAATTTCATCCTGCCCACTAGGGGTAGGAGATCAATTTCATCATTCACCTAACATATATACGTGCATGTAAATATTAAAATCGAAAAAAATATATATTTTATACCTCTGTTAAAAACATAACGGATAAAGCACGACATTCTTTACATCAAATCCTCTAGCAGACTAGCATCACTTCTCATGGCATGTTTGGCAAAGCTTAAACCATTAATTTTAAGCAATAAGTAATTTTTTAACAAATATGTTTTTATAGGTCAAACATGGAAATTGGAAGCAACTCAACTTTAACTTGCTTTTAAGCTTAGCCAAACATGCTGACATTACAAATTATGTTCATCACTAGGATTGGTGAAAACATGCTTACCAGAGCAGCAACCCGCATTTCAACACCCTTTCTTTGCAAGGCTTTTGTCAGTCCAGCTAAGATATCTTGGCCAACC